GGGGGGGGGGGGGGGGGGTCAGAAAATGGGCTTTAAATGGCAACCAAATCTTAGAGTAATGCTCTTATGTTGTTATTCCGCCTCTCTGGGATAGGCCCATTCTCTGGAAGAATCAATTTGCGAGTGGGGACAGCAACGAATCGATCAAACCAACCTCTATCGTGATCATCTTTGGTATTTACGAGAGTTTGTGTACCTCGGCTAACTACCGAGTCAATACTTCCTCTCAACGACTTCGGGTAAGAGAGATGTAAAAGGTGTGAGAGAAACAAATCAATGTCAGTTACTCTAACTAGAAACCGGAAATATGCTATAAGCCTCCAAACATTTGGCCCGACTTGGTCCAAACATACGCCAAAATAGAGGAAAAAACCTAAGATTACGAGATTCATGTGGTGTTCGAACGCAAAAGTAAATGGGTAAGTGTTCATGAAGGAAAAACCACTCTTGTGGCTGGTAATTCTTCCGTTCTCTTGACGGACATGAACATTGACATGATCACCCCTGCGACAGTCACTTCGGATTGCAGGGACATATTCCTTGCGGATAAAGGAGTCAATATTTTTTACAAGAGAACCCCTAAATCGCTTTGATGCTTTCCTCCATGCTTCAATATCCGCCCATAGTCTACGTATTTAGGAAGTGATGTTCTAAACGCCAATATCACACAAGAGGGGGGGTGATTTGTGTGGTACTCAATTTTTCGCTTAAACTGCTTCTGGAAGGACCTGGTTCTTCTAGATGTATTTATTACTACTGTTTGCGGAATTAAAAGTACATAAAATAAAGAACACAGAGATTTTACGTGGAAAACACCTGGCTCAAAAGGTGAAAAAACCACGACCTACTACTCAGTAGGATTTTCCCAAACTTCCACTAAAATCACTGAGCCAAAACTGCATTTACAAAACTCATTGTAAACCTAAGGATTAACTCTAATCCCGTTGTGGCAACCAGCCTCTAACTGCTGCGACAACTTCAAGTTAACTCTAACTTGAATACTCAAAGTACCTAACACAAGTGCTTCTATGAAAGCTGGAAAGGTACAACTTTAAAACACCTACTACAATTGAACTAGAATAAAAGAAAGACACATAAAACTCTTTATGGAGCTGGTTCTTCAATCTGGTTCTTGTAGTTTCAGGTTTGCACACTTGAATCACACACGAATTGCTTGCAAAAAGCCTTGCTATTTTGCTCCCAATTCACCTTTAACTTCTGCGTTTTTCTGCAACACTTTAATGTGAGAACATCCTGCAATTTATAGAGTTAGTAGATGAAGATAACTAGAGTTCTGATGCAACTCTTCTTTGGTGGAAGAGTTCTTGTTGATTTCAACTTCTAACTCCTTCCCTATCTTGGATAGTGTTCTCTTTGATTAAGGACTCCTTCTCCTTATCAATTATGCAACCTTTTCGATCAGGAGATATTAAATACACCAAGTTAAGGTTATCTCCTTCACGTGCATCCCACATGCTTGAATCTGCCCGTTTTTGTGAACCTGAGGGATGGACCACTGGATGAACCTGGTTCATGTCTGACTTCCTTTGTCAGTCTTCAAAACTAACCTTTACTTGGGCCAACAGGAAGGATGTAAGAGACTAAGGGCTCAAAATTTTGCTTCCCTTTCCTACCCTTTGTGGGGCTTAGGAGCCTTCTGCTATATTCAATGGGAATAGCCCTCCATAAGAGTAGGGGTAGAAAGGGTTCCTGGCAAAGGAATAGGGACGTCACCAGCTAAGGGCGATATAGGACAATTAGCCTTTGTGGGATGTTTAAAGTTTTGAGAATCCATAAGAGAAGCAACAAGGGAAGTTGAGAAGAAAAATAAAAGTTCAATAGGAAAGCTAAAAGAGCAAGAAAAAAAAACGGAATAAGATAGTTAGCAGAAGAACACTAAACTAGTAAGGATTCCTCAAGTTGCTATATATAAGCGGGAAACCCTTCTTTCCATAACCGCCAAACTCGAAAAACGTCCCTATCATAAATAGTCATCATTGACTAGGGACAGTAACAGATAGAAGAGCCAACAGAGGTAAGCCACATGTCCCAACTAATAAATGTGGAATGCATGCAAGTCTTGTCATTTTTAATGACGAGATTCTGCTGAAACTCCGTTTTTTCCAAAGAAGGACTCTAAGCAAGATTGACTCATATCAGAAGACTACCACTTATCAAGCACTTCTCGGGGTTCGCCCGACAAGTGGGGGGGACAATTTATATTGGTAAAAATCGGCCTCTCCACATGACATACTAGAATCATGACACGTGGCTGCTATGGCTCAAAAATGGAGATAAGGACGAAGGGAAGTAACTACCAAAGCCGACCTTTTGTTCCAGAGCTTTAGTGATCGGAAGAGTGAGTGTTCAAAGTAGGGCAAACACATTTGAAGACGCAGTAAACCGTGCCCAGATATGGTGGTCATCGGCTATTGCGTTGAAGTAGATTCCATTATCAAGAATCTTGCTTCCCACTACCTGAATACCAGACTTAGTGGCTTGAAATTCAAAACAACAACGCTCCCCTATGACTATAAATATCCCTTTTGTATCTTTTGTAAAGGGCATCGAAAAGAAACCGCAATTAAGATCTTTTAGTATTCTTCTCTAGTAAAGTTCTATATTAGCATTGCTTTGATTATCATGGAGATTGTTATCGTCATTGCTATTTGATAATAGGCTAAATTGTATAGTTTGGCCTACGTTCGGGCTCTAACTTAAGGATGCTTTACTGTTGTAAGTGTGTAAATAATGCAAAAAATTGGCTCTAATGGTGACTTTTATGTTTCACAGGAGTGCAATAATCAAATGAGGACTTTTGATGGTGATCCGGGCAAAATTTGGAAATAATGGACGAAAAAAAGGAGCAAAGCTCGTTGGCAGTGGAAAACCCCACTAGCGCGGGCATTAGCGCGGCCTTAGCGCGCCCGCGCTAGTTCAGCAGTCCAAAACAGACTTAAACCCCACTAGCGCGGGCAGATAGCGCGCCCGTGCTAGTCCAGATGCGGGAACAATGTTTTAAAAAGGGTAAATTCGGAAGTCCAAGCAAATCCACACAAACTATAAAAGGTTTAACAAGTCCAATAGAGAAGGAGTTCGAGTTTTTGAGAAGAAGCAACGGAGGCAAGGAGGCAACTTGGAAAACGATTTTATTCTCCCTACTTTATTCTTCTATCAATGAATATGAATTCTTTTGTAGTTTTCATCGTTTTTATGAGTAGCTAAATATTTTAATCTAAGGTTTTGGTGAAACCCGTTGGGGATGACTTGGTTGTTATATTAATATATTTTTGAATTGGTTATTAATCTCTATTTGTTCGTCTACGTTTTGATTGTGGTTAATTGAAAGGATCCTCAATTATCCGTCCCTATTTAGTATGTATCTGCTTGAGAGAGAGTGCATATTTAGGTAGTTGTTTGAACAACATCACTCCCGGAGTATAGACGAGAGTCATAACTGAAGGTTTAGAGGTTGGATTAGAGATAACGATATCTCGGGTGCAATCTAAGTGAACTGTAATGTGAATCTAGCTAGCGTAGCTTGAGAGAGTGCGTCTAGTAAATTATCATAATTGCTTGAGAAAGATTTATGATAGCTGGAGAGTTCATGATTGATAGAGACAACTAAGTCACAGTTATAAGACATATACAACCAAGGAAATCACAACGGGGGAAACCATTACCTTAGACCTTATTCCAATTGTTTACACATCAAGCATAGTTAATTTTCAGCAGTTTATTTATTTTCAGTTTTAGTTGTTAGAAATATCATCAACTGTTAATCACAACGTTTGGGGAAATTGATTCTGTTGAATTTAGTAATTTCAACAAAAGTAATTGATAGGTTAATTCCCTGTGGTTCGACTCTGGGCATAAATACTCAGATTATATTTGCAACATCCGCGTGTCTTTTTATAAAGCATAGTTTGGCGTTATCACTATTGCAGCCCTTGGAGGCTTACATTCAATAAGATTTTCTTTATTTTTACTGCTATCTTATTTCGTTCATAGTGATCAATAGTTATTTCATTGCACAAGCTTTGGATTAGACTGGTTGCTAGAGACCTTTAAAATATAAATTTAATTTTATCTTCCGAAATCAATTTTTTGGGTTAAACAAGGTCAAGCTTAACTTTATTAAACGCACCCCAAAAAAAAAAAAAAAAAAAAAAAAAAAAAAAAAAAAAAAAAAGCTATGTGCAAATTACTATGATATAAATGTAGCTCCTATTCCAAGAAAGAATTGAATAAATTAATGATTAATTTGCTCGGGTGTTTTAAGATCCGGTAATCGCGTTTAATGATAATATAACTCCTGAATTATAAATATTTTGACTCCCACTATGTATCTTAACATATTCAAATAAACGTGAAAATATGTTAGGTGCATTGGGGGATTGAGAAAAATTCACAATGAGATTCAGGAATTAAATTATCATCGTAAAATTGAGCGGATCTTGGAGGTGAAACTGGTGTCTGATGAGTCTAATGACAAAAAATAAGTAACCCCTACGATTAACAACATAACAAAACTTCTCTACATTTTTCAAAATAGGAATCAAAAACAAGATTAACGTTTGCTGCTATGTACTTGGACCAAACAAATAAATACAGAAAGCTAGCTACAAGTCATCTTTGTAGTGAGCTCATTGTCTTCAATACAGAAAGCTAAGGGATGATAGCAAGAGAAAACAACATAATGGACCTTGCAAAAGAAGAAACTCCTTTGTAGTTTACACCCTTTCCAATTCAATATAATGTTGTGTTTGTCTAATTGGTCCTTCAACTCCTTCCTCCAATTTTGAATTAGTCTCTCCTGCTTGGTTATAAGCTCAGTCTTTGTTTTCAACTCTTCTTCCATGAAATCTCTGGCATGTCTCTCAATATCAACTGCGGAGCAACAAATTTGAAACTCATTTCAGACACTTGAATAGTGAATATAAGCTCGATCAGTAAAAAAAAAAAAAAAAAAAAAAAAAAAAAAAAAATAGAAAAAAGAAACAAAGCAAAAATGCTAAAATCAAAAAGCGGAAAATTCAAACTTCATTCCTGCACGAGTATTAGGGAATAAGCAGAACCTGAAAGTGTCACCATTTCTAGAGGATATTAAATTCCAGGAATTTTGACAAATTCACTTCAAATGGAAAACACAATGAAGATTCAAAAAACAGAAAATATAAGACAATAAGAAAGGAAGGGAGGGATTCTAATCTGCTCAATCGATCTAAGAACTGTGCGAATTATTGTAGTATTAAGCTTATGAGTCAAATGATGAAACTTTAGAAAAGACTGATAGAGCGTAGATTCAAGGAACATTACATAGGTGACAAAGAGCTATATTTGCTAATAGTTGGAATTAAGGCTTAGTTGTTACTTATATTATAATACTTTTATTAGGTCTTGTGTTTTCCAGGAATCTTTAGTTTCATTAGAGATTTGTATATCAGTGCAGAGAAAGTGTGAGATCTAAAGAACCTCTAGTTTTAAAACATTAAGTTGGAATTATTGAGTAGAAGAATGAAATGAAGGGAGGTGATCAGAATAGACAAGGATATTCATACAGCCAATCCCAACTAGTTTAGGAACATATAGTTTTAAGTAGCTCCTGTAAGTTGCAATATTCAAAGACCCTATATCACTGATTGAAAACAAGAAGCTTCTGTAAATTGCAATATTTGAAGACCGACATCATTATGTCAGTGCTAGTGGGAAACGGGTATTCAAATGGATAATACAGCAAGACCTCAAGTCTAAAGCAAAATGTTCTCACATAGCTTTAGAACATCAAATAGCTACCTTATCAGAAAACAAAACAATAAAGACTAAAGCAGCGGTCCTAATTTAAATTGGCAACAAAAAAACAAACACAAGTTAGTATATAGAGTGTAGAAGTAACAATACTGCTATTTTGTGTTTTCCTGACTGATTTATTAGTACTACACCCATCCTTCAAAGACAATGAATAGATTCAAGGGTTATAAATATGTCGTTCAGTCTTAAAATTACTCACTCTGATGATAAGGATGATCTGAACGGTCTATTACCTGAAGCTCTCTTGCAGGGAAGCAAAGTAGCCTCTAACGCCATCACTTGTCATCCGTTGAAGAAGGTGATTGCATCTGCAATTCAGGATTTTGCTACAGGATGTCTCTCAGCCATATGATTCGAGCAAATGTAGCACCACTAACTGCCCTCACTTCAAAGGTTAGGTGGAGAGAAGATGCTGGCAAACTGATCACAGCAAATAGTAAATGAAATTGAAACCTTTATCTTGACAAAAATAACAAGAAAGAGCAAGGCCAAAACCACTTCAATAGCTGTAATGATACTTGTCCTTTTTCACTTTTCGAGGTTTAATTTGATTAATTCTCTGTTTAAACCTAACATACATAAATTATCTTCTATCTTTCAAAAGAATTTGAACATTCCAAAATTATAAAAAGCTAGTACATATGTTACTTGTTTGTAAATTTTGAAAATGTAACATAATTCATTTCAAACTCGAGGGGGAGCATTCCTTTTCTTTCTATTATGTCTCTTGGAAAGCATAAGGGCTGCAAATTTTAACAGAGGGCATAATTACAAATAACTTTGATATTATTTGCCATCCTGCATCTTCTTTTTTTCAATTTAGTAAAAGGATTTATACAGATAAGAAACTGAAAGCACCAGTTCTTTTCCTTTTTGTCTTTATTTCTAGATTTAACAGTATACTTATTCTGATTCGCAAATAAGGACGAATGAGCTAGAAAAAATGGTAATGGATTCACGAACTTTTGACATACTCATCAAATTAAACACTAGCGAAGGCATGAAATTAGCAAAATGCACAAAGAAGATTGGGTAAAACAACGATAAATGCAGCGGACAGTAGCGGTAAATTTGAATGTATGAGGCATGAGGGTGTTTTTATCTCGTGGAGATGGAATTCAAAATCAGGTGCTACAAAATCTAGCTCGTGAATTGTTAATCATCAGCTGGAAAATGCAATAAATTTGGTATTAGGTTCCTTGGGGTGGGTGGAGAGCTTATGAAGAAAATACAATTCGGATACAAGCTGGTAAACGGGGGAGAAATTAAAAAATAGCCAAATTTTCGAGTGGTAATTTAAAAATAGCCACAGTTTCAAAAGTAATCGAAATTTAACCACTCTTCATGTAAAGATAAATCTGAACGAACACACTTTTCGAAATCCGGAAAAAAACTCCAGTATAATATACTGGAAATTCCAGTATACTTATGCTGGAACTCCAGTATAGTATAATATACCGGTCCAGCATAATATACTGGAGATTGGAGCACCTTCCAGCATAATATACTGGAGATTGCTCCAATCTCCAGTATATTATACTGGAACTGTCTGCGTGTTGGAGTTCCAACATAATATGCTGGAAATTTATATACAGGTGCACCAATCTCCACTATATTATGCTGGAACTTTCCGTGTTACAGCAAAATAGTGGCTATTTTTTAATTACTTTGCAAACGCTGGCTACTTCTGAATGACCAGTCCAAAAACTGGCTAGCCCATGCTATTTTTCCGGTAAATGGTGAGTAGTATAAGTGGGTTTGTCAATTTGGTCAAGTATAATGGGTTCACTAGGTCGGGCATAATCAGCCCATTTGTGTGTTGGGTAATTTCGGGAGAAATTCAAAAATAGCCAGATTTACCACTGGTCGTTGAAAAATAGCCAAGTTTCAAAAGTCATCGAAATTTAGCCACTTTAAATCTGAGCGAAAACACTGTTCAAAATCCGGAAAAATATGCCCGCAAATTTTACGGGAGTTCAAGCATAATTATGCTGGAACTCCCGCAAATTTTACGGGAGTTCCAGCAAGTATAATTGTCCAGTATAAGATACTAGAGTTTGGAGCACTAGTGCTCCAGTCTCCCGCAAATTTTACAGGAGTTAGCAAAGTATACCGGTCCAGCATAATATGATGGAGTTCGTACACAAATGCACCAGAACTCCCGTATATTATACTGGACCGGTCCCTGTTGCAGCAAGATAGTGGCTATTTTTCATTGACTTGATAAACGCTGGCTATTTTTCATTGACCTGTGAAAACTGGCTATACCATGATATTTCACCGGTAATTTCTATAGTAACGGGCTAGTCACTTTTTGTATCAACTTTTAAAAGATAGCCAATTTGAACTTTAGTGACTTTTAATGCAAATATACCATGACAGTGTTATGGATCTCGAACTTAAGCAAGTAAAAAAGGAATTTTTACCTCCTATAACAAAGGTTAATACCTTATATATTTTAAATAGGCGAAATACATGAACGGCCCCTTCAAGTTGTCCTCAACGACCAGCTGAACACCTCAACTGAGCCTATTTTCAATTAGACACTTTATTTATTCACAACAGAAGATCAACTAAACACCCGACCATGTCAGCCTCCATTGCGTGAAATCCACTCTCTGGGACGCGAGTTGCCAACCTAAAATTAGGTTTTTTCTATTTTTTTTACTAAAATAATGTGGACCCCACCTAATTTTCATACCCCCTTCTCCTCCAATTCTCTCCTCCACCATTCAATACCATCCTCGTTGTTATGAACATTTTCCTGCTTGCTGAACTAATCATCTTGTATCTTCAGGTGGGGACTGTTACAACTTTGAACTTTTGCTTGGCCTTGAGAGTTGAGACCTCCATTTTCTCTGCCGGAATTTTTTATCAGACACAACAACCAATTTCAGACACAACTAGTCGGAAAAAATATCCATCCAATTATCAGACACAACAACCAATTTTGACGGAAAAAATGAAGGCTGCCGGAAATTTTTAACCCATCTGATTCTTCTTACTCTCTCTCGTCAAAAAAATGGAGTTTCTTCTTCTGCTCTTTTTTATCGTCATATTCAGACACCAATGGCATGCCATTTTGCGAAAAGAATTTATTGCTCTGAAGGCGGCGATTGGTGGCGATGCGGCAGAAATGGAGGAGCCGGCGGCTGCTATGTAAAATGAAAGAGGAGCTGATAAATAAGTTTCTTTAAATGTATATTTTTTGTTAATTACATGTGTCAAATTTTTATGGCATAATTACCGTGTCATTTTTTGATTGGTCCATTTGACATGTCATTGGCAAGTGCAATTCACGCATATGGTCTCCTGTATTCAGGTGTTTACTTGACTTACTTAATTGCCACTTGAAGTGTCTAACTGAATTTAGGCTCAGTTGAGGTGTTCAGCTGGTCATTGAGGACAACTTGAAGGGGCCGTTTATGTATTTCGCCTTTTAAATAAATACCATTTTAAAAAATTATATTCTATAGATACCTTTTAATGTTTATAGCAACATATCTAATTTTGGTTACCTCCTACCCCTAAGCCACTAAATACGCTATTCAGTTACACTATTTTCTTTCTCTCTCTTCTTTGATACATGTTATTCTCTCCCCCCACATGAAAATATGATGCTCAATCTCAAAATTCCTCTAACCCACATCACCTACCATTAGTTTACTAAAAATATTTTTCAGGTACCTAACCCCACATGCGGTGGCAGCAGCCGCGGCTTCAACCCAACCTACGGCGGCTCCAGCGTAGAAACAAGTCTCTCACAAGACACTTTGACACTCTCCACTGAGGTCGTGCCTTGATATACCTTTGGTTGTGTACAAAAGGCCACTGGCAGCTCCGCTCCACCCCAGGGGCTATTAGGTTTGGGCCGAGGCCCATTGCAGTTTGGAACTCAAGGGCGATGCCTTATTGGATGGCTTGCAAGAAGACATATTTTGATTAGATTCGACAGATATGATAGTATGTGTTTTGCAACGGCTAAATCTGTTAACTACTATATACAGGATGCGTGGGAACAGTGAGATTCAGTGTTTTTGCTCGACGGCGGATTCGCTGGAAATTAGGGTTTGTTCTTGAACAAAGACGACGGAGTTTAGGGCTGAGCAACTTGATTTTCAGTTAATATATTTCAATATATTTTCAATATATCACGTTGTATTTTCATATATTTCATTGTATTCATTGACTTATTTTCATTGTATTCAATGTATCTCGCTGTATTCCATGTATTTTATTGTATTCGCTGTCTTTTTTTCCATTGTATTTCAATGTATCCCATTGTATTCTATGTATTTCATTGTATTCACTGTCTCACTATATGCCATTGATGTATTCATATATTTTTTTTAATTAATATAATTTATGTATTCAGATGTATTATATAATTTCTCTGAAGATTGCTATATTTTTGGGGTATTTTACGGTTGAGAATCTTTTTTATAATTGGAAATATAAAATTTGTGTGTTGTAATTGAGTTTGTTGAGTTAAATTAGGAGTCTATTATGTTAATTGATTCACTTTCCGTTTAAAAACGGTGTAATCCCCTGTTTCACGCCGTGAATAAAGTCGAACACAATAATGTGTCCAGCTGTAATCCCATGTTTCACGCCATGAATACAGTCGAATACACTCGAATACAACAACTGATTAGCTGGACTTCCCTGGTTCACGCCTATTTTTGCTACTGTATTCATGAATACAACAGCTTAAATACATGTAATACATCTTATAACAACAGAAAACGTATCTACAATCCGTAATATAGCAAATGGTATCTATAGATAGCTAATTACCACTAAAAGATAGTGTTTTATCAAAATTTCTCAATAAAAAATCCATAATAATATCATGATATTTAAAATCCAAAGGGCTCTTGATATGAAACACAGCTGCATGTTTTTTTTTTGGGACACCAATATTTGTTTTTTTTCTCCTCACTTTGCATTGAGCATCATGAATTTTGAGCTTTAAAAAAGTGAAACTCCATGATAGTGTCCTGGATTTCGTCCAGCATACTGTCATATAGTTTCACTTTCTTAATTTCAAAATCCATAATTAGTGTTAAGTATTCAAAAATTTAACTATTTTTCAATAACTTTTGAATTTGTATCTGCTTTTGAATACAAGTTCAAAAATGGCTATTTTAGAGATTTTCCTAATTATGCAAGCCAGGATTCGACTCCTTCTCATTAACATCTTTTACTTTTACTTTTATTTTCATAATGAAGATTGAAGGGGTGTGATTTTCTTTTCTCCATCTTTTTGTTATGCTCTTTCAATTCCTTCTCTTTTCACCCCGTCAAATATAGCCTTAAGTATCTTTTCGCTTCCTATTTGAGTGTAGCTCTTCTTTTTATGGTCTCTCTTTAAGAAACTTATGCACTTAAACAGTAGATGGCACTTGATATTATTCTTCCTCTGGATTTAAGAGTAACCATTCATAGAACCAAAAAAGAAAAAGAAAAAAAACAAAGTTGATCAAAAAATAAATAGGAAAGCAGGAACTATGTTTACTGTAAAATTGAGAAAGGAATATATAGATTGTTTTTTTCCTTTTCTCTTCTTAAATTGATCTCACGTCTTCATTTCTTTTTGCAAAAACCTTTCTGTCTATTTGTGTCTCCCTCCATGCTCCTTTTATATGAGAGTTTACTTAAACATCTTAGTTAGGAATACAATGCCAAACAGTTGAAGACAAACTTGGATTTGTGACTATATCCAGTCGTAGGTGATATATTTATTCAGAGGCAGATGCACCTTGGATTTGATTAATTCAATTATGAACCCATAATTTTACGCAATGAAGGGAGCCTCGTAAATGGTAAAGTTACTGTCATGTGATCAGGAGGTCGCGCGTTCGAGCCGTGGAAATATAGCCTCTTGCATAAATATAGGGTAAGGCTGCATACAATACACTTTTGTGATCTGGCCCTTCCACGGACCCCGCACATAACGGGAGCTTAGTACACCGGGCTGCCCTTTAATTTTACGCAATGATTCTAGTAAAAACAAATCATTAAAGATTGAACTCATCAAATTTAAATTTTTAATTCATTTAATATTTAATACATATAAAGCAAAGAGGGGAAACAAAATATTCAACATTGTAAAGTTATATCGGACCATAATGTAAAGTTAGATTGCCGAGCTCGTGACCCAAAGACCGATCGAGATCGAGATCA